TGTGGACTGAAGAGTCCCAGGTTCGATTCCGGTCAAGGGCATGTGCCTTGGCTGCGGGCACATCCCCAGTAGGGGGTGTGCAGGAGGCAGCTGATCGATGTCTCTCTCTCATCGATGTTTCTAACTCTATCCGTCTCCCTTCCTCTCTGTAAAAAATCAATAAAATATTTTTTAAAAAAATTAAGTATGTACATTACTAATTTTTATTATCATTTATCAAGGTTTAAGAACCAAAGTTTATTTTTTCTCCAGGGTGCGAAGTAGTAATAGATCTGTACTTAAGGGTCAAATGGATTAATAAATGCCTCAGTAAACCATTTTCAAGTACACCTAACTAACGTAAGAATTTCTACTTTACCGATTCAATATTGAAATTAATTTCAAATTATTTTTAAAAATCAAGTCCCTGTAAGGATTTTATGAGGGATTAAAAAAAAACCACACAACTTCCAATACTTGAAGATGTAATAGAAGTTTGGTAGGTTAGGAAGTCTTCAGGAATAAGATTAACCTTGAGGTGATCCTTACTGGCTCTGGAATGCAAATGGAAGTAAGGCACCTTGGCAGAGGTGACGCTTCTTTAGGAGGTTAGAGGAAGAGAAATAAAACAGGGAATATAAATTAAGTTTATAGTAGTAATAAGATCATTCAGTTCTTTTAAAAAGCTTTTGGCAGATTGATTAAAAATGATTTTTTCCTCGTATATTGTTAGTTTTTTCCTTAGAAAAAACTAGAAACAAAGACTACTAACTGCTATAAGTTGATAGTCTCTGGTAATACTTTAGTTTTAATTGGTGAATAAGGGAAATAGAAAATTAAGACTATCTTATTTTTATTTATTTCTATTTTTTATTTTTAAAATTGATCTTTATTGTTGAAAGTATTACAGATGTCACCTTTTCCCCGCCATTGACCCCTTCTACCCTGCACTCCCCCCACCCCAGGCCTTCACCACACTATTGTCTGTGTCCATGGTTATGCATATATGCATATAGTTCTTTCTTGCTTAACATTTTTTTAAAAATTAAATGTGTGTTTTTTTAATCCTCATTGGAGGATATTTTTTCCATTGATTTCCAGAGAGAGTGGAAGGGAGGGAGGAGTGTGTGTGTGTGTGTGTGTGTGTGAGAGAGAGAGAGAGAGAGAGAGAGAGAGAGGTGAGACACATTGATTGGTTGCCTCCCACACATGTCCCCACCAGGGCTGGGAACTTGCAACTGAGGTTCATGCTCTTGTCCAGGAATTGAACCCGGGACCCTTTGGTCCACAGTCCAACACTCTAACCACTGACAAAATCGGCCAGGTCTGCTTAACATTTTTAGTTTTAAGTTCAGTCAGCATAGTCATCAACTGACATTTACTCTGAACCCCTTGGGTGAATGTCATTGAGCCAAATACCACAAGAAATAATATCTTTTGTCTACGTGAGCAAACTGGTAGTTGAAATATTGCTTTCAGAATCTATAGATAATAGTGTTTGATGTTAATATGTTGTGAGATTCCAGCCTTGGAGTCATGATGTTAAACTAGGAAAAATGTACACTGAAACTTTAAAAAATATATGTATATATTTATTGATTTCAGAGAGAGGAAGGGAGAGGAAGAGAGAGATAGAAAACATCAATGATGAGAGTCAATTATTGATGGGCTGCCTTCTGCACTCCCCCTTCTGGGGATCCAGCCTGAAACCTGAGCATGTGCCCTGACCAGAACCGAATAGTGACCTCCTGGTTCATGGCTCAACATTCAACCACTGAGCCACACCGGCCCGGCACACTGAACATTAAAGAAAACAACAACAAACTGTATCTACTTTCTGTCGAATAAAAAAGTCACTGTCCTATGCAGTGAAACACTAAATATGTTTTTTTAATATTTTAAATATTTCAGCTAATATTACTTTAGCTTAAAAGAGTTGAATTTTATTTAATTGAGCATTGTATGAGTAATGCAAGGTAAACTTTCATTTTGACAAGTAAAATAAGGAGGTGAGTGGATTCAGAGACTATCAGGTAAAATAAATGATTTGTGCCTTTACTGAAAACTCAAATACAAAGAAATCTGGGTAGATAAGATGTCAGAAATTTGTGACTGAAACTTACTTTCACCTGACCTCCAAGGTTAATATCACATTTCACACTGAGGCACTTTTCATTCTATAATGTTAAAAATGTTTCTTTTATATATGGTCAGATTTTAAGTATTTATCTTCCCCCATGAGTCCCCCTCCTTTTCTCATCCCTCCCTACCCCGGTCTCTTTTGCTCTGGTAGCGTTCCTATTGCTGGCTATCTAGTCATTACCATTCTAATACCATTTAAGGTAGCTCTGCTGGGTTTATTTATTTTGAGCCCTACAATCCAGTTTCTCTTTTAACCTGGCTTCCTAAATCAAGTTGACAAGCCATTTTATTTTTTCTCCTTCTCATTTCAACAACTCGTGATGTAGATTGGTTAGGAAGATATAATGTGCACCGGGGACAACCTCTTCCCTTGGAATCAGTTATTTTCGAGGTTTCCTCCTTTTCTGGCTGAACGTGCTTCAGTCGGGCAGAGTACCTTGTGAAGGACTTCAGCCCCCACAGTTCCCCGTTTGCGCATGCCCTTTCTTCTTACAGTTGTCAAAGTGCTTTTGCCAGAGCGGTCACATAATCAACCTGAAAGAAGAAAATAAATACTGTACACTTTTAAATTTTATCGATCCTTAAAAACTGGACCCTCAAAGGTAACTGCTACTAAGAATTTGTTACTTGAGATTGGGTGATTGCATGTAAAGGAAGATCTATTGTGTGTGTGTGTGGTGGGGGGAGGGGAAGCAGGAGGTATCTATTTCTCGGACTTTGCTGTAAATAAGAAAAAAAGAAAACAGAAAAACCCTGATCCAAACAAACAAACTATACAAGCAGTCACCGAAAGAGAGTGCATATTAACTTTGTAAATGTTATCTTAATCTATTGTTTACCTTTTGTTTAAAGGGTCTTATTTATTAAAGATGGGTCTTGACCTTGACAGAGTGAATTTATGCAGAAAGTGAAATGTGTATCTTTAAGGGTATTGAGAAGAGAAATGGGTGTTCATGGTATGATAAAAATCTTTAAATTCAATAAATATGTTAATATTAATTACAGCCTTTATAAAATATTCTGAGTCCAGCTTACTTTTTGGCTTTTTTTTTTTTTTTGCTATAGTACAGCATTATTTTTTCCACCAAGAGCATGTAGTTTACACTGAAAGTATTAACAAAAAGCATTTGTACAAGCATCAGAAAAGCGGTGAGATTGAAATTAGAAGCAACTGCATCTTTCAGCCATGATGATATGGCTATTGTAAAGACAATTCTAACCCACTGGAAGCATCTCAAATCCCAGATTATAATGGTTTGCTGCAGCACTGCTTAAACCAAGTATGAAAATGTCTCTTTCTGTCACCATTTCCTTTGGTAGCAATAGAACTTGGTGTTGTGAATCCCAGCCTCGCTTGCCTCTTTGTGTCATATTTTTCAATACTGATCAAAGCATTGTTTTAGACCAAGGGAACTGAGGAACATAAAATCAATCTTAAGTAGATTTTATTGGTAGTAGCTGGCCATTTGTGATGTATGTCATACTGGGTTGGGTTCTTTTTCGGGGGTGTGGGGGGGAGATAGGGGAGAAAGGAGTAGAAAAGGAGAGTAAGGTGGCTGTGAAGCATTTTCTTGAGCCCGCTGTTTTGTCTATGTATGGAACTTTAAAATGAAAGATTAACCATTTCGTCTTTTTTATTTTTAAATAACAAAATAAAAAGTTGATGTACAATATTATATTAGTTTCAAGTGTACAACCCCATGATTAGACATTACTGTAATCATTTTAAAGATAGTCTTTAATAAAATGGAACTATTTTTAATCCTATTTCTTGGTTTGACATAATTTTGTTTAATAGTTAAGAGCAGTAGCACCTCCATTTCCAATACATTTATTTTACAACAGTTATTATTATGAGGATGCCCAAAGGCCGAGCTTCTGCCTGTATTTGAATGCCCTTTCACAAGTGTCCTGAGAAAATTCTTCTCTGTATCTGAATTAACTGCATTAAATATATTCATAACTTTGTTACAATTATACTGAATTCTCATCTAAAATAATTATATGTTTGGTCATATGCTTCCTTAAAATTTCAAAATATTTGTTTCCAGGGTCTCAGCACTGTAATATTAATATAGTTAATACAATTAACATGTTCCAAGGGACACGCTAGCTCAGTGATGACTATATGTATGGCAATCTGGTTTTGAGTGATTACTATTTTCATCCGTGAATGAGAAAACAGGCAGTAGGTAGAGGTGAATATAATAGTCCGTGAATGAGAAAATAGGCAGTAGGCAGGGGTGAATATAATCCTATTCGAAATGGAAAATACCATACTCTCCTTATATGGCTAAATGAAGCAGTGATGGCAATGCACTATAATTACAATGTATGAGAATTTGAGACTTTGTACTCAGCTATTTTTAACACTTTTGCTAGCATATGGTAATTCAGGGTCTTCAAACCATAATCTTTCACTGCTAATACTAGTGATAAGAGAGTGTATTCTAAATTTGCTGAAGTCTTGTGACCAAGGCAGCAGCAGGAGGATTCAAAAATGACAATCTGGCAACTCCAGAATTATCTTGACTTTCTACTTAAATCCCAGAAGGATTTTTTACTTTTCTTTTTTTCCTCCCTAGAGGATTTTTTTTAAAAAAAGCCCCACCCCATCTCACACTCAGTGTCTGCCAGAGTCTCTCTCTCTCTCTCTCTCTGACCTCAAATACAACTAGAACATTTCTTCACTCTGCAGAGAAATTCTCAGGCTCCTGTTGAGATCTGAACCACTGAGATGCCAAAAATCTCTTGTGCGGCAGAATTGGAGACAAGAAAATTGGAGAATAAGCAGAAAATCCTTAATCCTTAGAGAGTAACAAGAAGCAAGCACTTCCAAACGTTTCAGGAGATTTTTACCTCTTTAAAAACGGTGTGGGTTTTTTTTTTCTTTTTTCTTTTCTGTCTCCTAACAAAATGGAGTGCTGCAGCTACTGGGAGGCCAGAGAACGATTGTGCAGCTGAGTCCTCCTCACAAATGCCAAGGATTTCCTCCCTCGTGGTTCGCTGCTGCTAAATGAAACAATTATCAACGCTAGAAGGCAGTTTGCTAATCAAGAGGGATGAGGCTGCTGTTTCTTTAAAGTGTCAGAATCGAGGAGGGGGAAGAAAGGGTCGTGCGCGGTGTCTTTTTAACCTTGCTGAAGGACGCAGCAGTATTTATTGACGTATGCAAATAACTAGGGGAGGGTGGTGCTTGGGAAAAAACAGGAACCAGAATCAGTTTCTCATTGCCGGGTGAACGCTCTTAGTTCCGGTGAAGGGAAAAGAGACGTGGCGAAATTGCTGTCTTTCTGTCTTATAAGCACATCTCTCACTAATCCAGAAAGGGAACCAAGACATCAGAAAGGGTGAAGACGCTCTCACAGTGTTTTTAGAGACCTCGCGTGAGCCCTCCCACCCCAGCCCGACCTGTTCTTCTAAATGGGAGATTATGGATTTGCTTTGCAATTGGCTAGTAGCGGAGGCACTGGATTTTCGCAAGTAAAACACCCGCCCGCTTCAGCGAGGGGCATTAACGATCACATTGACAATAACGCGTCTCTCTTTTTTCCCGTTTCAGCTGCGCAAACCATGCAGGATGATTTACTGATGGACAAAAGCAAAACCCAGCCCCAGCCCCAGCAGCAGCAGCGGCAGCAGCAGCAGCAGCCCCAGCCCGAGCCCAGCGCAGCCGAAACCCCGTCCACGCCCCTCTCCTCGGAGACCCCCAAGCCGGAGGACAGCAGCGCAGTGCCGGCCCTTAGCCCTGCCGCGGCCCCGCCGGCCCCCAACGGCCCCGAAAAGATGCAGATGGAATCGCCGCTCCTGCCGGGCTTGAGTTTCCACCAGCCCCCTCAGCAGCCGCCGCCGCCGCAGGATCCCGCGGCGCCGGGTGCGTCGCTGTCGCCGTCCTTCGGCAGCACCTGGTCCACGGGCACCACGAACGCGGTGGAGGACAGCTTCTTCCAGGGGATCACCCCAGTCAACGGGACCATGCTCTTCCAGAACTTCCCGCACCACGTCAACCCCGTCTTCGGAGGCACCTTCTCCCCGCAGATCGGCCTGGCGCAGACCCAGCACCACCAGCAGCCGCCGCCGCCCGCGCCGCAGCCCGCGCAGCCTGCGCAGCCCCCGCAGGCGCAGCCCCCGCAGCAGCGCCGGTCGCCGGCCAGCCCCAGCCAGGCGCCCTACGCGCAGAGGAGTGCCGCCGCGGCTTACGGCCACCAGCCCATCATGACCAGCAAGCCGTCCTCGTCCTCGGCGGCAGCGGCCGCCGCGGCCGCAGCTGCCGCCTCGTCCGCCTCGTCCAGCTGGAACACGCACCAGAGCGTGAACGCCGCCTGGAGCGCGCCTTCTAACCCCTGGGGCGGCCTGCAGGCGGGCCGGGACCCTCGCCGGGCGGTCGGCGTGGGCGTGGGCGTGGGCGTCGGGGTGCCTTCACCGCTCAACCCCATCTCGCCGCTCAAAAAACCCTTCTCCAGCAATGTGATCGCGCCGCCCAAGTTCCCCCGCGCGGCCCCGCTCACCTCCAAGTCCTGGATGGAGGATAACGCTTTCCGGACCGATAATGGTAACAATCTGTTGCCATTTCAGGTAATGCTCCAGTGCACCTGCACTCGCCTTCCTCCTACCTCCTACCCCGCTTCCTCCTCCGCTCCTTCCCTGCCTTTTAATAGTCCACTGATTACCCTCGCCCCCTTCCCAAAGCCCCCAGTTCACTGGGGCCATTCCACTCCCGAGCCCCATGATAGGGGAACACTATGACTATTCAAAGATACGTGTCTATACACCCTGACAAGATAGAAAAGGGCCTTTTTCTTTTAGTTTATTTTTTCCCTTCGCCGTTCTTACGCCTCTTATTTTGACCTCCTTTGACAAGTAAAGCGGCAAGTGTGTGGCAAGGTGCCTGCATCGCCCCAGGATGAGTAGGCGGAGATTCCGGTCGGTTTAAGTAGCTACACATTTCAGGTTATGCAATTTGGGGCTCCGGGGGCAGAGTGCGGGCTACCGCTGCCGTCCACTCCTAAAGCTCTAGAAGAGATGAACAAACCCGTGAGTGGTGCCATTTCAGACAGTTGCATACGCTCAATTAAACTAATGTGAACACATGTGTTTATGTCTTGCTAAAAGGTGCTGGCATCTTTAATAGCAATCAGCATATTGCCCCTGCCAGGAAAATTATGAGTGTGAGATTCCAATCACCATCGGAACTCTATCAGAAACAGAGATGAAGAGTGGAAATTCTAGGGGTAACCCTTCCTATGTTACCTAGAAGAAGGACTTAGAAAAAAATTCTTTTTCCAGAGGAAAGAGACAATAGGACGCGACCTTCAGAGCCATATTGCAATGGAGTCTATTTGCTAGTTAGCACTGAAATATTTAAAGCTGCAGTGTCCTTCAGTTGGGTTATTTAAGAAGACAATACAGATCAATTACACCATTTGAAACTGGGCAAAGTGAAAGTCTTGCAACTTTAATGAAAAACGAGCCTTGTGTCTTGGTGTTAAATGCCAATGAAAAACCCAGGAAGTGCCCCAGACAAAAAGGTTGAATGGAGTGTCCTTATTCTGTTCTTGCTTTCTGATCCGGCCCTCGGCCACACTGGTTGACAGTGTCCTGAACATCTTGAGTTGGAAAGGGGTGGTGAGGGTGAGTGTTCACTGGGGGCTTTTGTTCTCAGGCAAACCTTTGTCCTTCACTTATAGATTGATTTGGCCATAACATTCTAGGCTCAGTTAAAGAGGAAAAGAAGAAAGAAAGGAGAGAGGAGGGCTTTGGATGAGACTCACTTTGTGTGGTCAAGGGAAAAAAAAAACAAATCCTTTGAGCATTGCTGAAAAATGGCAGAACCAGCGTTTGACAGCGGTAGTTTAACACACCAGGTGCAACTGGAGCCTTCATTTTATTGTTCTGTGTTTCAGATGTGATGTTTGGGCACCTCCCATCCCTGAAGGAGGAGATAGGGTTATTGAGAAGCACATGATTCTCTCGGCTAGAGCAAGGATTTTTAATCTTGATAGTTGAAGGAGGTCCATGAAACCCATCAGTTGTGTGTATGAGGGTTTTTAATGAGAAAGGATCTTAAGTTTTCACAGGCTGCTTCAGAGATGGAAGATTGTAATAGTAACATTTATTTTTTGCCATTCTAAAGTCTGCTTATTAAAAAAAAATGAAAAGACACTGCAAGATGAGATCAGTTTGGTAGGTAGAGAAAAGGAGGAATCCCCTTTCTGGAATTTCTCTCTGCATTTATTTGGGGTGGGGTGGGGTAGGGCAGGGATGGAGGCTGCATTTGGTAGGAGAGCTCTTTTTCTAAAAGCTGTCCACTTTTTTCATGGTATTCTTTTTTCTAATAGGCCCTCTTTTTATTTTGGTGCTCCCAACCCAAGTCCCAAACCAAGTCTTAGAGGATAACCTCAAATCTAATAAGGAGGTTTAGGAATTGAGAGCTGAGATGTAGACATCAGTTATCTTTTTCTAGGAGTTGAATTTGAATACAACTAGCTTTTGATTAATTATCTCCGGAAATGGGATCTGGGGAGACATTAAATCCATAAAAGTTCCCCCAAACAGATATTGACAAGTAGTGTGTTGTTTCTCAGCAGACCATTTATCAACAATGCTAATTATAGCCAGACACACTGGATTGCATTTGGTCCCTTGTCTTTTCACCTAATGGTTCTATTAAATAGGCAACGATGGCCGAAAGATTTGTAGGTGAAGAGATTTGATTTAAAATTGAGCTTTGTATATTTGACCAGAGAAAGAACTGCATGGACTTTATGTCTCACTTTGTTTCTTAAAATGGAGCTCCCGGGTTTTGAAGCAGCATTAGAATCAGAGTAGGAGTAACTAGGATGTATTTTGGCTTGGAATATTATCAGACTTGGTTTGTGTTGATAAGTATATAAAGTATGTTTGAAGTGTGTTTGAGTCTTGTGTGGAGAATTTTACATGTTTTAAATAATTTTTCTACAAAAGGGGGGAAATATCTTAAGTAGTCCTAATGACTTTTTTTTTAAATGTTTATTTGACAAATAGGATTTTTTTCTTTGAATTGAAAAGTTTATTTCATAGAGTGCTAACTTGATTTTTTAAAATTTCACAGACACTTTGCGTTAAAAGGGGCTTTCAATAGTTATCTACTCTGATGTATCTTAATATTTTTAAAAATCCATGCGCCTCTCCCTTTCCCCTTCCCCAATGCTGCTTCACTTTCGTTTGCCAAACACAATAGATTTTTTTTGGAGCTTTACTTCTGTAGTTTATATGGTAAAAGCAATAACTGAATTCAAATGTGTTTTTTCAAAGTGCACATGCTTCCTTACCCCTTCTCTCAATTCTGACAAGGTTGATTGGTTTCCCTGGATTGGGATGGCTGCTTCATTAGGGATTACTTATATCTAAAAGCCACTACATTTCTATAACTAAGGAAACTGAGGTCCTGAGAGGTAGAGTGATGTAACTCAGGTCTTAGAGCTTTTGGCTAATTTTGTTGATGTATGTTCTTAACTTCCCCGTAGCAAGCAAATAGTGCTGTCCGGTAGAATTCATTTTAAGTCAGGTTTTTTTTTTAACTCAATTCAAAGAGACTTAGTTATGGAACTTTCTAGTGAGGTTCCCTCCTGACCGATGCCTCCCACCAAACAGAGCTCAAGAACATGGAGGCACTCTGCCGAGGGAATTGTGTAAGTCTAGAGATGCCTAGGCATGTAAAGGACTAGAGCGGAGATGGTTTCTGTACAGTAGTGAATTGGGTTAAGTAGCATTTTTGTCCAGAAAAATCTAGAAGGGGCTTTTGAGAGCACCCATCCCACCACTCTGCTCATTTTCCAGAGGACATCGAAGTCCCAATGTGGAAAATGACTTGCCCAAGTTCAGGTGGGTAGTTGCTGTCAGAAAAGCAAGCTTTGGAGATAGATTGCCCAGGTTCAGATCTCAACTCTCTGCCATCGTAATCTTGAACAAATTATAATTGTTGACCTTCAATTTCTTCATCTGTAAAAGAGGAATAATAATTCCTTGCTTCCTATGCATTCAAGTGAGAAACTACATAGAAAATGCTTAGCACAGTGCTTGGCCTGTAAGTAAGAACCATATCAATGTTGGGTTATGATTATTGTTATAGTAATGGTGACTTGAGGCTCTGTATGATCTTATCATAGTATGGATTACCAATTGTTCCATACAGTGCAATCTGAATAACTCCAAACTTCTGTATAATGTCATTTAGTCTTTTTTTTTTTTTCTGTCTGAAAATACACTCTGGTTACTATAACAATGTGGCAAACCACTGATTTACCTGTCAGCCAGGCCCTGTGCTAAGCTCTTTACATGTAGTTTTTCATTGGAACTCATTTGAAGTAGAGACTGTTATTATCTTCATTATACTGATGACTTGAGGGTTCGTGCATTTATATTATTTGCTCAAGCTCACAGCCAGAAACTGGCCGAGTTGGGATTTGAACCTAGGCAGTCTGCCTCTGAGCCAGGGGAGGCATTAATACTTTGGCTATGATACCTCTTGGACTTCAGTTAACAGTGCAGGGTAGAAGCAGGAGCCTCGGCTGAATCTGTACTTGACCTTGTGATATACCCTGGAAATTGTGTTTAAAAAATCTTTATATGTATAAAAATATAGGAAGAAAAATACAGTGCCCATACATATACCACTACTGGAATTCACAGTAGCCAATATTTTCCACTATTTATTTAGTTAGTTATATATTTTTGAATATTGTATTTTTTGGAGAAAAATTCAAATTTTCTGCTATCTGTCTGCATCTCTACCTTTATCTCTTCCCTCTTCCCCGACGCCAAATTGAAAGTGACTACGTAGATTTCATGTATTCTGACATAAGTCTAGTTAAATGTAATTTAGTGTTAATTTTGTTGGTGGGTTATCTATAACTGTGGGAGAAGTTCCTTACATGATGAATTCATGGGATTATGAATTATTTTAAAACTAAATGTGCCTATTTATAATAAATCCTGTGGAAACAGTATTTTTTCAACTTGTCCATGTTCCTTTTTAAAAATATATTTTCAGGAAGTAATATAAATTATCTAGCTTATGCTTGCTCTTAAATAAGGATAGTATGACCTAGATTTAAAACTGGGGATTCTTCTGTAATTGGTTTCTTAACTACCGCTCTACTGCAAAGCCACTTAAAGTCCACCCGACCCCACAAACTGTTTGAGAACGTATTATGGCATGGTTAATATGAATGCCAACAAAGCCACATTATCTATATTCTATTGGAAAAAGGGGTTGGTTAGGAAATATTAGAAGGTTTTTATGCTACTGGAAACATTAATAATATAAACTGTATACTTCAAAATTGCATGTTGAAAAGTAGTTAGTGTTAAATTTTTTATGATCTTTCAGTAAGTTGACACAGAAGTGATCTCTCGGAAATGTAATGTTTTTAGATATTTTCTAAGACAGTTTTCTACTTAAATAGTTTTCCTCATTGGCCAGCCTATCTTTCTGTCTTTCAAGGGCCGCATACGGGTAATTCTTGTCCACTTGCAACTTATCATTGCACAGGTGGTTTTTGCTAGTGTCAAAAGGATGAGGAATACAGCCACAG